ACCCCGGTCTCTTTCTGAGCAAATCTGATGTTTCTCGCCTGCTCAAACCACGCCGTGGCTGTCTGGCAGGATGAAGATAAACCCCCTCTGGCTGCCAGGATGTTAGACCACCCACCCCCAGCAACACCAGTGACCACACGGTCGCCCCATGGCAGCCACCAGACTGCACACACTGAGTCCTCAGGCTCCCGAGACACACGAGCAGACATTAGCAGCTGTCACAAGGCTCAGCACAGCTTCCCGAATGTGAGTCGGGACTTTTAGGTACTAAGCAAGCAGAGTTCAAGGGCACTCAGGGCGCTCAGACACCCAATATCACTGCTGCTGGGAAACCACAACCGAGCTCAACAGGAGGAGCAGGCCTCGGGGAACAGCCTCGGCTCCGTAGAGCCAGATCACCTCAGGTCAGGGCTCGGCCACTGCCAAGCTGGCAGACGGGTGGCTGGGGTGCCAGGGTGGCACCTGCCAAAGGTGTGGCTGGTGGACTGCAAAGGCCAGGTCCAAGGAGCAGACATCAAGGCCAGGCCTGGGCTTGGCAGCTTTGGGCTTCGCCACAGGCACCAGCAGCTCAGTCTGACCCCACAGGGACACAGCAGCTGGCCTGCTGCCCCCCCTCCCCCTGGCTACCTGGGGTGGCCCCTGTGGCTTGCCAGCAGGACTCTCCCCACAGTTGCCTGCCTCCTTACACCCCCCAGGGACCAGGCAGGACCTGGTAAAACGAAGGCGGCAGACTATGGTGGAGATCCGAAAGTGTGTGGCGGGGTCAGGAGCCCAGAGCAGGTATCCCGTGGAGAAGGCAGCCACAAAGCCTCGGGGCCAAACGCTGCCACGTGGCACTCTTGCCAGATACCTAATTTAAAAGAAACCGAAAGTCTAGATTTTTATTCTGCCAAAAACTATTAGGGCACCGTATTGGGCACCAAAATCCTGGCTACATTTCTGGGCGCCCTGTGAACTTCCATCTTCCAGCAGCCACTAAGCTCTAGGTGTGGTGTTAGGCACATCAGGACCAGGAAACCCACCTACCCACTCTGCCTGCCAACCTTCCCTCCAGGCTGCCCGCTCTTCTCCCACTGCCTGTCACCTCGAAGCCGGGCTGGCAAAACCCACCCAGCCAACTCCTATTACCCCGACAGGGTGCTGGTCAGGGCCCCCTGCCTCTTCCCGACTCAGCAGCCAAAACCCATCATCTGATGGGCAAACCAGGCCATGCTGCTCCCCTGCCCCTCAGCTGGGCCCCCAAGGCCAGGAGTCAGGCCTAGCCCCCCCACCTTCATCTGCACCCATCTCTCCCTACCGCGCAAGCCAAGGAGGTGCTCTCTGCCTGTCTCCTCCTGAAAGGACTTGCTAGAAGGTAAATCAACACCTCCCTCTCGCTCCCTCCCCTGGCACCACCAGCACGTGCATGGGCCAGGCCACAGGACCCGGGCCAGCTGGGCACAGAGACCTCTCAGGATGTTTGGGATTCTTCTTGCCTGAAGGATAGATTGGCTCAAGGCTGGAAGCCTGCACCCAGCCTGCCCTGGAGAGACTTATGCTGCCTCCCAACTCACCAGACTTGGCTGGGACCTCTGCATCCCTCCCAGGACCCCTGGGAAAGCCTCCCAGATGCCACTTGGATGCATCTGCCTGGAGGGCCTCCAAGCAGGGACCTTGGCAAATGCCCACTTGCCCCAGGCACAGCCCAGACCTGGCCCCAAATCCACAGGAATGATTTTAGCTTTATCCCCATCTATGGCCCTAGGGCCCCTTTCCCTCGGGATCTAGCTTGATGCCTCACAAGTATCCAGATTTGGACTTTCCTGTACCACCGCACCCAATAAAAAGAACCTTCTTCAAAGGTCTGGGGACATCACACGGGGCTGTAGCCACCTCCAGCCCTCTGCCACAGAGACAAGGCAGGACTTTGGAGCTGGACCTGCCCAATTTAAATCACAGCCCTGCCACTTCCCAGCTGAGTGAAATGGGCCCGTCACTTCAGCTCTCCTGAGCCCATTGTCCTCCTCAGCTCAAGGGGTGGTTCCAGGGCTCAATGGATCACACCTCCGAGGTGCTCAGCAGGTCCCGAGCATCCAGGAAGTGCACATAAAGGCAGTTTAAACCCTAATGATAAAAAGGCTATCTTCCCAATTACATTACGACCTGGGTGACTTCTGGCAGATGGCTTCCCCCCTCTGGCTTCGGCACCTTCCCCATCCCCAAGGCCAAGAGGATTAATGGGCACACCGCTTGCTAAACACTGGCACAGAACATGGACCCTCGGAACACGATGGCTGTGAGATTTATGGTTTGTAAGGAGGCCTCAGAAAGACAAGGCTGGGGAACAGGACGACATACCACCTGTTCTACCTGCTCAAATTGGGTCAGGCTAGAGCTGTGTACCCGGCTGTTGCCATGGCACCCAACACAAGGAAACACTCCGGCTAGGAAGGCAGGCACTGCAGGGGTGGGGCCTCAGGCCCGCTTGGCTCAGACAACACCCGTGCAGCCACCAGCAGTCCCTGGGCCATCCCAGAGACCCCTGGGGTTGGGAAGAGGATACTACCGGATCTGGGCCCAAGATCTAAATAGGTGTCATCACCCCTGACTCTACCCCAACTCCAAAACAACGGGGCCTTGGCCATCTGGAGGGGTGGGCTGGGAGGCGAGGCTCCCTTCTAGGCCGAAGAACAGGATGGGCGGGATGGGTGTGGAGGAGGTAGGAGCCCAGGAACCCCTACCTCCTGGGCAAAAGCCAAAGCAGCTCTAAAGCAGCCTCAGGTCCCAATGTCCCTGTCTGCTCCCTCCAGCCACACCTGCCCAGCAACGGACAGGTACCCAGAGCCCACTAAGTGCCTAGCCTGGGGGGCTCAGTGTCAGCTCCCCCCTCCACAGCCCTGTCAAGTTTCATCCAGGATGAGGGCTGCGAAAGGCTGTTTGGGCTCAGCTGGGATCAGGGAATCCATGGCCCCTTGCCAGGAAGGAAGAAGGGGAGGCAAAGAAATCCAGACTGTGGGCCAAAACTTGGAACTTTCCAGACTTTCCCAGATGAGGGGGCAGGTTTAGGGCAATGGAAAGGCTGACAGGTAGGGTGACAGCGGCCCTAGTGCCTGGGAGGACACCTCAGTCTGGGGCTAAATATGTATTCCTCAGTGGGATCTAAGACCCTGACCACCCCCAGCTCACGTGCAGGCCCTCTGTTGACTATCACTGGTACCTGCCAAGAAGTGGGAGGCCTGGGGCCTCGGGCCTGGACCTCTCTGCCATAGTAACCACGACTACTGTGACAATTTGCCTGAACCAGACGTGGCACAGCCGTTATCAATTATCCTCACAACTCTAGGGGCGGGTATGATTTCTCCCATTTCACAAACAAGGAAATGAAGGCTCAGAGGTAGAACAGGGTAATGGTTAAAAGCACACCCTGAAGGAACTTGGGCTCTGCTGTATTAGCTCAGGCAAATCACTCCCTCCCTGAGCCTCAGTTTTCACCTCTGTAAAATGGGGATAATGATCCTACAGTTTCCCCCACACCCCCACCTCCACCCCACTCCATGGCATAGTCCAGCAATTAAGGAAAAGGTGCTAGTAAAATGGGAGCCCCACACCAACAACTGCTGGTTCTTGGAATCCGAGAAGTTAGATAACTAGCCCAAGGTCACCAGTTAGTGAGTGGCCGACCCCAGACCCTAACTCTGAGCACACCCTTTCCCCAAAACCTTGGGCTGCTCTGTGGGTGGCCACGGGATCAGGATCCCAGCCTTCCCAGGAAGCGGAGGACTGCCACCAGCCCCCACAGCAAAGGGCAGCCCTTCTATGAATTCCTCAGATAAGCAGTTCCCAGCGGTCTGGGGAGCCTCTAGGCCTAAGTGGGCCCAAGCGCAGAGAAAAGGCACCCCACCCTGTCTGCACAGGAGATTTCTAAATCTGGGTTAGGCTCTATGCCTACCTCACCCCCCAACCAGACCCCCTTGCCCGCGTCCTCCCAGACCACCAGATTCATCCAACAGGTCTCCAAATAGGCCAAGTTCAGTTGACAACTGCCTCCTGTGAGGTCCCTGGAAAGCCACTTACTTCCTCTTTCTGGGCCTCAGTTTCCCCAGCTCAGAACTGCAAGGCAGCTCCAGCTAACTGGGCCCACAAGGAGGCCTGAGGAGCAAAGGGACAGACCAGGAAAAGGAACCAGCATGTCCTAGGCACTGGGCCAGGCCCTGTACTGCACTCTATCTACAGAAACTTCTCCACAACTCTGACGGAGACTTGTATTGGGCCCAGAAAGTGACAGCGCTAAGACTTGAACCCCCATCTGTCAAACTCCCAGACACTCTCCCCCCGGCAAGCCCCAACTATATGACCCTAGATGGGCCCAGTCAGTGGGTACAGCTCGGGAACGCAGTCACCCTCAACAATGAGCTGGACAGCTGGACCTGCAGGACGGGGAAGAACCCATAAACCAAACTGGACCGAGCCTCTTTCAGAGAGGGTGACAGCCTCCTCCACAAGGGCGTTTGCCATGCAAAGTAGCCCAGCCACAGCCAGGAGAGGACAGACATTCAGAGAGGACAGGCCAAAATCCAGCCACCTCCCTCCAGCCAGACCGGGAGTGCCTGGGAACCTGTGGCTGGCCCAGGCTCTAAATCATATGACAGCCCAAGCGGCCATCTGGGTGCAGGGTGGCCTGGAGTACTCCTCCCGTCCCAGCCCCTCCAGGCACAAACCCTGGTGGGCTCTTTGTGCAAGTCTGAGGAATGGGCCAGTGTGCAGGACCCCCAAAAGGGCTGAAAGAATGAACCTCCAGCTATCCAGATGGTCACCTGCAGACGGGGGTGACCGGCACCCTGCCAGTTTCCTCAGGCCCAGCCCTCCCAGATCACTCAGTCCTGCCTTGTGCAAACCTGCCGCAGACACACATAATCCCCAGGACTCTCTGGGCCCACAGGGGCGCTTCCACGTGCCAAGTGGCTAGATCTGGCTCATTACCACCCCCCCTCCCCTGCAGGCGCGACTGCCCCAGCTCCTACCTTGACGACAAGCTGACAAAATCCCCGCCATCCAGCAGCCGGACCTTGCAGAAGAGGACTCCGTTCACGAAGGGGACCGCAGTCAGCTCCTCCAGGGTAAAAGTGGTTTGGAATTTGAATTTCTTCTTCTTCATCAAGAAAGCCATGAGCAAGTTCCCTGAGTCTGAAGCCCCGAAGGCCAAAAAAGGGGGGGAAGCCAGAAATCCCCAGGATTCCTTTCCCTACACCACACCCCCTCCTCAAAACATCAGAGCTGGATCCCGCCCAGATGGTGGCGAAGGCGGCCGAGCAGGCGGGGATCTAAGTCCGGAGGGCCCAGGTCTGAGCGACCAGTCCAGTTCGCGGGCAGGCTGGCTTCACCGTCGAGGAGCCGGGGCTCGGAGCGGCTCGGAGCGACCGGGGGCTTCACCGGCATGTAAACAGCGGGGCATGGCCCAGGAGTCAGGGGCAGGGGCGGCGGGCGGCGCGCGAGAGGCCGCGCTGGCGGGCAGCATCCCGCACCGCGGTCTCCGGGGAGCTCTCGCCGCGCTACCGGGCGCGGCTGGCTGACCGGTGAGGCCGAGGGAGGCAGGCGGCCCCGCCCCCGCCCCGCTGGCGGCCGGGGGAGGCGCCCTCGCCGCGCACACGCCCCCGCACCTGGGCGCCCCGCGGCCCGCGCAGGTGAGTCCGGGGCTGCTGAGGGCCCCCAGGGGGCGACCGGGAGCTCTGGGGGCCTCTTCGGGAGGCGCGGCGAGGACACTCTGGGCCGGGAACGGCCGGCCACGGCCCCCTCCGGCCGGGCACCGGGCCCGGGCTGCCTGGGCGCCGCCTCCTCTTCAGTCCTGGGTCCCCGCGCTGCGGGCCCCCGCAGAGCTGAGGCGCCTTTCCGGCCGGCCGGTGGCACCCGCCTCGCTCGCCGCCTCTGTCCAGCACCCCGCGAGCAGCAGCGCCGCCCCCTGTGCTCCGGACACGGCCGCCCGAGCCCGACGCTGTGCGGCGCCACTGGGAGAATGCTGAGGCCCAGCGCGGCCGCCCGCGGAGCCGCCGCGGAGCGCGGGAGAGGCGGGGCGCCGGCGGCCCAGCCTGCCCGCAATTGGGCGATCTGGTGGGGCGGGAACGGAGCGCGATTGGCGGACGGGGGCGTAGGGCGGGACTCGCGAGAAGCAGAGGCGGCTCAGGGCGCTTGGATTGGTGCGCCGCGCGGCTGGACCCGCCTCCTCGGTCCGGACAGAGCAGAGGGAAAGGGAGAGGGGCCCCGAGAAGGCAGTGGGAGGTCGCGGGGCGGGAAGCCGGGGCTGGTCCGGCCAGGAGGAGGGCGCGAGCAGAAGAAAGGAAGAAACAATGAAGAGAAGAAACGATATGAATACTGGCTATAACGGCCCTCCAGCGTACCCCCAGACGTGAGCTCGTTAGCCACTAAATCAAAGCCAGAGGCAGTGAGTCCCATTTTTCCAAAAACACTCAGAGAGGTGCCCAGGACCAGACCAAGCAGGTCTTTCGCTTGGGAATCTGTAGTTCGGAGCACAGAGAAGGAAGTGTCTGCAAAGGTTTCGCCGAGGGAGTGACTTGGAGAGCAGTTCATCACGCAATCTGTGCGAGACCCAGCTTCTCCCCCAAGCTGCTTTCCAAGCCTTTTGTTGTCGGTTAGCTTCTTAGCTAGTTATTGCTGGTCTCTCTGACTACGTTAACTGCCCTGGATAGAGACCGCTTCCAGAGCCTCGTACCTCTTAGGCCCTGGACACATTGTAGTTCATTCATTCAGTCTCCAAATGTTAGGGGGCAATGTGCTTGGAACCAGGCTCGGACCCAGCAGTGAGCTCCTGGTGGCCTCCAGTCTCCAGCCTAAGCCCAAGATCAGGTGGAGGACGGTGCGGCCAGGAGCACACGCAGCAACAAATTTGGTAGCTGAGAACTGTGACAGGCACTGGAGGAGCTCGGTTGAGGGAGGATGTATGCCCTGAGTTAGGCAGAGGCCATGCAGAGGGAGCCTCTAGAGGCCTGGAGGACAGAGAACGTCCCCACAGAAGTTGTGAGGACTTCATCTGGCTGCATTACGATTTGAGAGAGGCAGGGGCAAGAGATGCAGCTAGAAGGCCTCCTGTAGTGGCTGGATCTTACTGGGTCTTGTCAACCAGAGTAAGGAGGGGGGGCCACTGACGTTTTGAACAGGAGAATGACCCAGGCCTGTTTTTTGTTGCCGGAAGCTGGCTCTGGCAGCCTGCAGTGTGGAGGAGAAAATATGGGAAACAGGGCTGAGGGGCCTCGTGTTGATCCAGGAAAGAAATGATGAAGGCAGAACCTCAGAGCTGAGAGAAGATGAGAGGATGGATGTGAGAGGCATTTGGGAGACAGAAATGGATTGGACTTGGGGCTGAGTTAGATCCAGACGTGTAACCGAGGGCTCAAGTTTCTGATTTCCTTAAAATGAGGTGGTGACCTCTACTTCCCTCCAGTTCGTCCCATAATTTAGAAAACGCAATTGAGCCAGATAGGTGAAAAATGGCAAGAGCAGCTCCCACTACTATTCTGTATCCCCATGTACAGCCTGGGTAGTTGAGGCCTAGAAAGTTTAGATCACTGGAATGGGGTCTTAACCCTGGAGCACAGGCACTAGAGGGCTAAACTATGCTATGCACTCCGTGGGGTGTGTTCTCCTTGCTGATCCTGGCTGGGCCTGCTCCACGCGAAGAGCCTGTGCCCACCTGACCCCAGGAGGGGATTTCAGAGGAGAAGACCAGCCAAGGAGGTCTCAAGGCCTGCCTGGCTCTTCAGCTGTGACCACAAGTAACCCCAAACTGCTCTAACAGGAAGCAGGGTGGGCCCAGCCGCCAGACTTAGCTCGGGTCTGGTATTCATCTCTCTGTAGCCTCAGGGCTAGGAGCCCAGGAAGTTTCCCTTTCCTCATTTCCCAGATGGTGCCTGGGGAAGGGAGAGAGCCTGGTGCCGGTTCAGGATGTGCCATTTGGGGTGAGACAAACCCATATTAGAATCCTGGCTCTGCTGCACATGGGCAGTGTGGCCTTGGTTGGGGACACTGAGGCTTGGGGACTCCTCATGAGAGGGGGTTCAGTGTGATGTGGCTAGGACCACTTGCCCTGAAGCCATCAGAGCAGGATTCAAAATCTGGCTGACTTAACACTACCAGCTGTGTCACACAAGCTTTGGGTGTACTTTTGCATGCATAGAAAGGAACCTTGAAGGATACACCCTAAAACTTTTTTTTTTTTTTTTTTTTTTTAATCTCTGAGTCATAGTTTTTCACCTGTAAAAGGGGACTAAGAATACCAACCTGGGGCACCGGGCTGGCTCAGTCGGTAGAACATGCGACTCTTGATCTCAGGGCCATGAGTTCAAGCCCCACACTGGGTATAGAGCTTACCTAAAAATTAAAAAATAGAAAGAAAACCAACCTTTTCAGAATGTTGTGAAGACTTCAAGAGGCCACACCTGCAAATGGCTTAGGCCTGAAGGGACATGGAGATCTGAGCAAGTGGTCAGAACAGAGGCCCAGGCCAGCACCCCCAAATCCCCAAGCATAGCCTGTCCTCCCTACCTAAGGCCCTGAGCAGACATAAGGAAAGCAGAACCTCACAAGATAATTCAGACAAGTGGTCTGGAGAGGAAGACCCAGGAAAATGTGAGAGAGGATGATTGGGTTGGGGTCCCTGGCTTGTGTGAGGGATTATCTCAGCCGAGGCCTACATAATAAGGAGGACCCTTGGAATGCCTGGGTGGCTCAGTTGGTTAGGTATCTGCCTTCAGGTCAAGTCATGATCCCACGGTCCTGGGATTGAGTCCCAGGCTCCTTGCTCAGCAGGGAGCCTGCTTCTCCCTCTGCCTGCTGCTCCCCTGCTTGTACACTCTCTCTCTCTCTCTGACAAATAAATACATTTTTAAAAAATCTTTAAATAAAGTAATAATAATGAGGAGGAGGAGCACCCAAGCACAGGAAACTCTGTGGGCAGAAGCAGGGACTGGCGTGTTTGGGGAGCTGTGTGTGATGGGAGGGAAGTGGCTAGAAGGAAGGGAGAGAGGCATGGGGTCAGGCAGGAGCCTGCTGACATGGGCTGTGTGAGCCTGGGAGGAGTTTAGATTTTATTCTCAGCCCAAAGGGACACCCCTGGAGGATGTAAGCAGGTTAGTGACAAGATCCAAAATGCCACTTTCAAAGTCCTTTCTGGCTCTGTGGAGAATGGATTGGTTACCAGCGGGCAAGACCAAGCCAGGCACACCTCGAGGAGGCTAGGACAGCCATGCCAGCAGGAGATTGGCAGCTCAGACTAGCATGGAGCCAGGGCACTAGGAAGGGAAAGGGGACATGTGGCAGAGGAAGAGCTCAGCACTTCCTGAGCAACACTGGCTGTTTCTCAGGTAGAGCTTTTGGAGTATCCCCAGGGTTTTGAACTTGACTCAGTGCCACCTGGTTTGTGAAGTCAGGACGTAAGTGAGCATAAACACTGGAATGGGAATGGGGAAGGAGGAGGGAACAGAGGGATCTCGTGGGACTACGACCTCGAGACTAGAATCACAGCTGCAGAAAATGGGAGGCCTGAGAGACTCCTCGCCCTTGTCTGGCCTTGGACAAACTCTTGGGACACTGTCGACCTCTCTCTCCCCTCAACTGCAGCACGCGCTTCACAGGGTCAGACAGCTCATCCAGGTGTCTGGATGTCCATTTCAGGGCCTGCCACATGCAGACACTCCACAAATGACTGCCCAAGGGACAGATGCCCAGACACACACGTTGACATATGTGTGTATATGTGCACGTGCGCGTGGGTGGATGGGTAGACGGCCAGATGGGTGAGTGGATAACTGTAGATATAACCACACCACCTCCTACTCTAAAACTCAGTACTGCCAGTAACTACCAAAATTCAGTGTGCATAATTCCTTTTTTTTTTTTTTAAGATTTATTTGTTTATTTGAGAGAGCGTGTGCTCGCACAGGTGCATGAGCAGGGGAGGGACAGAGGAAGAGGGAGAGACGGTCTGCAAGCAGAATCCCCGCTGAGCGTGGAGCCCAAGGCAGGGCTCAACCCCAGGACCTGGGGAGATCATGACCTGAGCCGAAATCCAGAGTCGGCCACTTAACCTACTGAGCCACCCAGGCGCTCAGAGCATATTTCCTTTTAAAGTAAGTTATCCAATAACAGCAGTCACACGTGCAGGCAAAGATACAAGTGCAAGATGGTCCCTGCACCCTTGTATATTACACAAAATTACTGAAGCAGCCTGATGTCTCCCAGTAGGAAGAGGGAAGCCTTGAGGGCAAAACTGCATTTTGTTCTTTGCCCCATACTCGGCACCCAGAACAGTGCCTGGTACACAGTGGAGTTCAATCAGTGTTTGTCAAATGAAGGCAACTGTGGTCGATGAGATGCCGCACGGCCACCAAGAAGACTGTAGGAGATGTGTGTGTGCCAAGGGGGGGAAATGTCCAGCCTGCCATGGCAAAGCAGGTCACAGACCAGTATGTAAAGAGTGAGATTATTTTTGTCTAGAAGAACAGATGCATTTATGTATGCATAGGAAAGACTCTTGAAGAATATGCCCTACACTGTTACCAGAGGCTTCCATCTGGGGAGAGAGTTTAGAGGGAAATATTTCCTTTATTTATTTATTTATTTATTTAAGATTTATTTATTTATTTGACAGAGAGAGAGAGAACACAAGCAGGGGGAGTGGGAGAGGGAGAAGCAGACTTCCTGCCAAGCAGGGAGCCCGATGCGGGGCTCGATTCCAGGACCTTGGGATCATGACCTGAGCCAAAGGCAGATGCTTAACGACTAAGCCACCCAAGTGCCCCCTTTATTTTAATGGATAT